ACTGGGCTACGTGCTTCCCTAAAGATTACAGCCTAGAAAACCCTATGGGGCAGTTCTTCTGTGTAACACATGGGGTCACTATGAGTTGAAATCAACAACAGTAAGTCTGGAGGAGTCCCTGGGTGGCGCAAATGGTTTAAGTGCTCGACTACAAGCTGAAAGGTTGGCAGTTCGATCCCACCCAGAGGCACCTCAGAGGACAGGTGTGGTGATCTGCTTCCAACAGTCACAGCTGTGGAAAGCCTATGGAACAGTTTTACTCTGCACACATGGGGTTGCCGTGAGTTGGAATCAACTCTACGGCAACTAACAATGAGTCAGTCTGGAAGCAGAACTCACATCCCCTGTTTCAGTGTTTGCCTGTGGGTGCGTGCGTGAGTGAGTGAGTGTGTGAGTGCAGGGGTGTGTGTGTGTGTGTGTGTGGGAGGGTTGTCTGACCTGGTGATAGTCATTCCGACCCCCAAACATTTTATCCTGATTACCCTGAGGACCTTGAGTTTTGGAAAAATCAAAGCCCAAAACTTAGGGCTATTTCTTTTCTTTTTTTTAAATTTTATTTATTTTGTTGTTGTTGAGAATATACACAGCAAAACATTCAGCAGTTCAGCAGCTTCTACATGTACCGTTCAGTGACATTGATTACATTCTTCGAGCTGTGCAACCATTCTTACCCTCCTTTTCTGGGTTATTCCTCCCCCATTAACATAAACTCACTGCCCCCTAAACTTCCGAATCTAATCCTTGAAGTTGCTGTTGTCAGCTGGATCCCATATAGATAGTTCTTAAAATAACATACTGTTCATGGCAGACTTTTTTTTTTTTTTTTCAACTAGTTAAGCTAAACTACTGCATGGTTTTAAGAAGACTTCAGGGGATATTTTTTGTTTAAGGTGTAAAGATTATCTCAGGGCAGTAGTTTCAGGGGTTCTTCCAACCTTCATGGCTCCAGGAAGTCCAGATTCCATGAGAATTTGAAATTCTGTTCTGCATTTCCCCCCTTTTGATCAGGATTCATCTATAAAATCTTTGATCAAAATGTTCAGTTATGGTAGCCGGGCACCATCCAGTTCTTCTGGTCTCATGGCAAAGGAGGGAGTTGTTCATGGAGGCAGTTAGCCTCACATTCCATTTTTTCATCTTATTCCCGACTCTCCTTCTTCAAGGCTATTTCTGTTTTCCACCTTATTTCATCCCTTCTTTGAGGGTGTAAATATAGACTCACCTAGCTTCTTGGGGTGGGGCAATGGACACGTCACCTCGTGCTAGCAGTGAGGAGAGAAAGTAACAAATACTCGAAGGGAAAGGAAAACTAACATTGCCTTACATTCTGTTTGTTCATCCCACTGCTTTAACTTATCATTGTACCTATAAACATGCTTGAGGTTAGCTGTTAAGGTTGGCTTGGAAATGTCCTATTCCTCTGTATCTTCTTATCTGCCTACCAAATATCATTAATCAAAATCTGTTACACCAAATAGGAAAGAAGGGAGAGACCCTGGGGCTGGGTAATATCAGTAATGTTGTTAACTGTGGTCAGGTTGGCCCCCGACTTATGGCGACCCCATGCACCACAGAATGAAACGCTGCCCAGGCCTGCACCATCCCCCTGATGGGTTGAGGATTGGCCGCTGTAATCCATAGGGTTTTCAATGACTAATTTTCAGACGTAGATCGCCAGGCCTTTCTTCCTAGTCCCTCTTAGTCTTGAAGCTCTGCTGAAGCCTGTTCAGCATCATAGTAACACACAAGTTTCCACTGACAGACAAGTGGTAGCTCTGCATGAGGTACATTGGCTGGGAATTGAACCTACGTCTCCTGCATGGAAGGTGAGGATTCTACCACTGAACCACCTCTGCCCTCTAATATCAATAATAGTAAGCACTTATTTAGTACTCACCACGTACTGGACACTTCCTATGTATTTTCCTTTGATCCTCACCAGCCTAGTGAGGTTGATAGTATTAAGTGAGGAGGAATCACAGCGAAGCTCAGCACGTTGCCCGTGGGCACACAGGAAGTTCGTAAGTGGCAGAGTAGGTGTGCTGGGACTGTGAACACTCAGCCTATGCCAGCACGTGTTTTGGCATGCCATGTGCCCCAGGCAGCGCCAACACACAGACAGAAGATTCTTGGTCACCACATCCCTCTGTGTTTCTGAGTACTGGGGTGCTGCAACTGGCCACTCCCCCACCTTCCGGCACCCATTTTCTTCCTCTGCTCGCCGTGGTTTCTCCCTGAGCGCCAGCAGCAGGACCCCTGCTCAGCACAGCTGGCTCCCCGAGTGTCTCAGGGTCTGCTGCGCTGGGAAGTGGCCAGGCCTTGGGAGCTGGCGTGTGACAGGCTGGGCTGCATTCCTTCTGGGTCAGTCATTCGGCGTCCACATCCCTGAGCCAAGCTGGATGTGGGATTTCCTGCCGGGACCATGGGGTGGGGGGGCTGCTTTATTTACTCGACAAGTCCAGTCATCCTGCGCTCCACTCTCTGAATGGTGTGGGGAGAACCCGGTGCAGGGGGTCTGGTGGGAACCAGAGACTTGTGTTTATAGGGAAAAGTCGGCTTCCTGCTCTGTACTCCACCCTTGCTTCTTAAGCCCAGCGGCAGTAGTAATGCTGCCTCCCAGTCTTTAATCTGCTTCTTTCTCTAACGTGATGGGTTGGAGAAATGTCTCCTTCCTTAGATTACACTTCTTTACCAGCTGCCATTGAGGCGACTCTGACTCATGGTGACCCCATGTGTGTCAGAGTAGAACTGTGCTCCATAGGGGTTTCAGTGGCTGATTTTTCAGAAGTAGATTATACCAGGCCTTTCTTCCGAGTTGCCTCTGGGTGAACTCGAACCTCCAACCTTTCAGCTAGCAACCGAGCACATTAACCATTTGCACCACCCTTTGGCACCCTCAAAAAAGCCTGTCAGGAGCTGTCCAAGCCTGAGGTGCACAGCACGGGGCCCCGTCTACCCTGAATTGATTTGAGAGTGCTTTCCCTAGATCTTCAGTACATAGCTGCTTAAGCCAACTGTGTTTGCACAGCTACGCAGGGGACCCTTTCCCTCCTGCAGAGACAGGCCTTGTCCACGCACTGCAGGCCGGAGGTGTCCTTGGAAGCTCTGAAGGGATGGTCTCACAGTTAGGGCAAACTTTCTCCCCCACCCCTTCCTCCCTGCCTTTCTTTCTTTTCCTTTTTTCTTTCAGCTTTATTTGGATAACATTTTAAACTTGAAAGTGGCAGGAGTAAGTATCCTCTTCTCAAATCCACCAGTTGTTTACAATTTGCCCTTTTTTAAATCATTCTCTCTCTATATATATGCATACACATACCTACACACACACATATACACACACACATATCCATACACATATATACACAAGCGTACATATACAGACATATACGTAAACTTATACACATACATATATATGCACGTATATACATGTGCGTGCACATATACACACATATGCGTATATACACATACACACACACATATACACACACGTGAATTTTTTGTGAACTATTTGAGCATCAAAGACATCATGCCCCTTTCTTTACTTTGGCATACTTGAGTGTTTATTTTCTAAGCACAAGGACGTTTCTGATATAACCAGAGTACAATATTAAAATCAGGAAATTTAACATTGATACAACATTGTTCTCTAGTCCACAGTCCATATCCAACTCTTAGTTGTTCCAGTAAGGTCCTTTACAGCCATTTTCATTTATTTGTTTATTTTAGGGAAATCTTTCCAAAGAGCTGTACTCTTAAGGAAAAAGTGTTTCGAAAAGTTAGAATGCTCCTTGTTAAAAATTTGGTTTTAAAAATAAAAATCATTCATAATTCCACCCCAGAGGCTTAGTGCTCAGCCAGGTGGAAGGTGATTGGAAGCCTTTCCTTTAGCGTGGGAGTCCTGGCCACCCAGAGCTGTCTCCCCCCAGCCCCAAACACACACACAGCCAAGAGTTCCGCAGCTGAGTCCTCGGGCTACAGGGAGGAGCTGGCTCCCTCTCCTGAGTTGCCTTTCTTTCATCACCTCTGCCCACCACTTGGGTAGGTGCCCACCCAGGTAGGAAAACCTAACCTTTTGTCATGTCATATCCTTGGGGTAGGGAAGGGCTTAGATCATTACAAATATTCAGAACCTGTTCAAGACTTGAAAGACAATCTTACAAGCCCTCTCTTGTCTGCTCTATACCATTGCTTCCTAGACTTGGTGGCGTATGGTTGAGGGGAGTTGCATTGGCCTCTTGGTGGAACATTTGTTGCTGTGGTTCATTAGTTACCACTGAGTTGATTCCAACTCATGACGACCCCATGTGTGCAGAGTAGAAGTGTTCCATAGGGTTTTCAAGTCTGTGACCTTTATGGAAGCAAATTGCCAGACCTGTCTTCCGAGGCGTCTCTGGGTGGACTTGAACCTCCAACGTTTTAGGTAGCAGATGAGTCCATTAACTATTTGCAGCACCAGGGACTCCCACCTTATTAAATAACCACTAACCCCTGGGTGGTGCAAACAGTTAAGCTATCGACTACTAGCCAAAAGGTCGGAAGTTCAAGTCCAGCCAGAGGCGCCTCAGAAGAAAGACCTGGCAGTCTACTTCTGAAAAATCAGCCATTGAAAACCCTATTCTCAACAACAACAAAAAACAAACCCTACTGAGCACAGTTCTACTCTGACAGAGGGGGTCACCCTGCGTCAGTTGATTTAATGGTTTAGTTTTTTTAAAATTTAATTTAATAAGGTTATTACACTTATCTGGGCTGTCCCCTTTGTCATTCCCAGGAATAACTGAGAATGGCTCTGCTTTTACCTGGCCCGGGACGGGTCTGCAGTCCATGAATCTGGTTTCCGGTGTGATTTTTGTCTTAGAAGCTACTATTGCGTTGTCTGTGGCTTCCCATTGTTGGTGCCTCGGTTTCCCTACGTGGTGTGTGAAAAAGGGCCTCTGAAGGCCGCGATCAAAAGCCTCCAGTATGTTTTCATGTGTTTGTTTTTCCTTCTCCTGCCCCAGACCCTCTCCTTGAAGGAGCTGGCCTTGAGAGTGACTTCAGCGGGCAGCCGCCCAGCCAGCGCTCGCCTACCCGCTGGGCCCACACAACTCCTAACCTGCAGAGCCAGCACTGGAGGTCCGCTCTTCAAAGCAGCTGTTTGAAGTGCAAACATTTCCTTTCCTGAAAATAAGGGAAATTGAAATTAAAACTTATTGTTCTGTGCAGACAATGTTCCCTTGGATCAAAGACGGGAGAGGGGCTTATAAAGGGAGATTCGCAATGTAGACCTGGAGGAGGCGAACGGTGTAGGTGTGACTGTGCTTATACACAGCACCATTGGCTGCGGTGCTCTGAGTTTGGTAAGGCTATGTGTTTCTTTTCTGTTATTAAAGATCCTAAATCTAGATCTTACAGGTTATGCTTAACTTTGTCTCTCTCCTTTTTTTTTTTTTTTTTTTAATCTTGGTAAGCATTTGGAAAGGAGCCCTGGTGGCACAAAGGTTAAGCACTCAGCTGCTAACCAAAAGGTTGGTGGTTTGAACCCACCCAGCAGCTCCGTGGGAGAAAGACCTGGCGATCTGCTCCCGTAAAGATGACAGCCTAGGAAAGAAACGCTATGGGGCAGTTCTGTTCTGTCAGATGGGGTTGCTCTGAGTTGAAAATGACTCAATGGCACCCATCGACAACAACAAAGCGTTTGGAAATGACTTTGGGTAAATGACACCGTCTCTATGACAGAATGTTATGTAGCCAATAAAACTGGTGTTTTCATAGAACATTTGACCTTATGGGAAAACTTGAATGTTAAAAGTGAAAAAAAAAAATCTGGGTGAATTGCCCATATTCAGTGTGATCTTAATGGGATGTATGTATTTGCACAGGAAAAGACTTACGGTTGGACTTTGTTTTGCTCACTGCTACGTGGGGAGCACCTAAAATGGTGCTCAATAGATATTTGTTGAATGTTTTTATCATTACAAAAACAGCATTATTTTTTAACAGAGGACTGGCTTTGGACTAAATAGAACATTTTGGCAGGTGGCAGGAACAATGAATTATCTTAAATTTCTATTGTAATCCTGTCCTGACATCTCAGTTGGGGTTTATTTTACACTTTGGTCCGCAAAACATACTGTGAATCAGGCGCTTGGTCTTTACTTTGTGGACTAAGCCAGCCCTGTTAAAATTAGAGTATCAGGATGTTAAGTTTTTCCTAGGTTGGTTGGTTATTAGGCCTCTTGATAGATGGAGCCAAATTACAGCTTGCTCTCACTTACTCGACTGTAGCCAGCGTGCCGTCGGGCCGGCTTGTCCTGTCCTGTTGTTGAGAATTTCTGCCCGATAACCAGGATTTGTCATCTTTGAGTGCCAGGACCTTGTTTCTTCCTCTACCAAGGTATACTGGCTGCATGTCATTCTGATTCCTAATGTACGAAATTCTTTAAAATGCAACAGCTCGTCTTTACCTGCACTGTGCGTTAGCGTTGGAAGCATCCCGGAGCTCAGGGGTTTAGTGTAGGAAGGATGAATACCACTTTAGAGCTGACGACACCGCTCACTGGGAACATCAGCTCAGTCTCTCCTTCAGTCAGACGTGTCCCCCTAGGCTTCCAGGGCCATATTTTCTGCCTTCCCACAGTGCTGTTGGCACTGTGTTCTGGAAGCTTCTCCTTGGGCTGCGTTTGGGATGGGGCTCGTGGTGCTAACAGACTGGGAGATCACCAGGTCTTTCTCTCACAGAGCCACTAGGTGGGTTCGAACCACCCACCTTTCAGTTAGCAGACAAGCACTTAACCGTTTCGCCACCAAGCCTCCTTGCGCGCACATAGACATACACATGTTTATATATAAATTAAAAGGAAAGTTTTCATGAAACCGTACTTATTCTTACTGCTTGTGGAGTACTCTGATAATTTTTGTTCTTTTTTCTTTCATTAAAAAAAAAAATCCTGGGGGTGACTTGCAGCTTGAGAAATGCTGCTCAGCGTGGGCAAGCTGGTTGCCCCCTGCGTGCCATTCCATTGGTATGGCTGAGTTTCAGGCCTGCTGGCAGCAGGGGTGGGAGCAGTTCTCGGTCAGGACCAGTTTGAGCAAAGAAAATCAGGGAGTAGAGGTTTTTGTTTGTTTGTTTCTGGGTGACTTGAGGGTTTTTGACTGACGTGGGCATTATTCTTTGTGCTCATCCCCAAGAGGCTCACTGGGCAAGACCCGTTTGGATGACTCAGCGTGCTCTGCTGACGACCGGGTCTGTCTGTCTTCAGTTTGGCTGACACGTTGGCGATTTAAAGGTGGCCTGGTCAGACTGTGTGCAAGTCTAATCTATTAATTTCAGTGGTTTGATTTATACTGAGTTTATTTTATTCATTGCCCTTTGAGGAAGAAGCCAGTCGAGAGCTAAGAAAGAGGAGGGAGAAAAAAATGCTCTTACAGAAATGTGAAATTTTGAATTCAAGTCTGATGGGCTAAAACCAAACAGAATGTTGAACACATAACCTTAGCAGTAATGGTCATACTATTAGGGAGCTCTTCTTGGGAAGGTTGATGGGATTTTATATGAATTTAAATCTTGTTTGCCCGCAGAGTGTTTGAAAGTGTTTCCCCCCTTGAGAAAATAACTATTCTTAAATAACAAATCTGTGTATATAATTCATAAAACAATCGTAAGTCATGAGAATTGATTCTACCATACAAGGGCATAGTGATGTAACAGAGAACTAGAACAAGATGAATTGTCCAGCTTTATTGAAACAATGTACAAATACTTGCCCTTGTTCCTCTGGAACGTCTTATTTACTATGCTTCTCAGTAAAAATAAATTTATTGTAAAAATTCCACCAAAAGCCCATTGCCGTCAAGTCGATTCTGACTCATAGCGACCCTGTAGGATAGAGTAGAACTGCCCCTTGAGGCTTCCAAGGCTGTAATCGTTATGGTAGCAGACTGCCACATCTTTCTTCCCTGGAGCGGCTGGTGGATTCAAACCACTGACCTTTTGGTTAGTAGCTGAGTGCTTAACCGCTGCATCATTCAGAGTACTCAAATTACAGTCTTTTAAAAAAAAATCTGTAAGTTAGAAATATTAATGCCACCATTGTTTGTATTTGAGAAGAATCATCAAGAACTTGATTTTATGCTGGTTTACATATACATACATACATATACATACATATGTGTGTGTATATTCTAGATATATATATTATTTGGAATAAAGGATAGTCTGTAGCTATAATTGCATAATTCCCCCATAAATTCATATTCTCAAATTTTTAGCAACCAGGTTTTTTTTTTAACTTTTGTCGGAAGGCTTTTGTTGCAGTCTTGGGAGGTATTAGGCAAGAGCATTTATTCACTCTTTCAGTAATGATACTGAACTGCGGAAGCTGTCTTGCTAGTCTCAGAGTCTGATACAATCAGAATTTTAGAAAAGTTGACAGATCTAATTTGCGTTAGGAATTCAGACCTAATTACTGAAGGAATCTCTCGGGTCTGGGAGCTGGTGAGTCCAGGCCAAGGCAGCACCATCTTAGATTTCTTGGGCAATTTTGGATGCAGGCAGCAGGGAGGGAAGGATACAACACCCTGCACAAATTCCTCTCGCTTTCCTGTTGCGCCTGGCTGCCGCTAACTGTCCTGTGCTCTGTGTCTTTAAGGGAGGTCTTGCTGAGTCACCCTGGGTGGCCTTTGGGTTGGAGGACGGGTTACAGTTAACATGCTTAGCTGCTAACCAAAAGACTGGAGGTTCAAGTCCACCCAGAGGCACCTTGGAAAAAAGGCCTGGTGATCTGCGGAAAAATCTGCCATTGAAAACCCTATGGAGCACAGTTCTACTCTGACACACATGGGATCTCTTTCTGGTGAGGTGTGCAGGTGTGCGAAGGAAGAGAGTTTCATTTTGCCTTGAGGGCACTGGGAGCAAGGATTGGGGGAGAGGAGCAGTTCCTCAATACTGATGCTTTGTGGGGGCAAGTAGTACTGCCCCCAGTCAAGTGAGTAGTAACTCAGAAATGTTAGTTCTCGTCCCTTCTAGAATTGCCCTTCTTGCTAGACTGCATTGAGTTAGGAGCACTTTATGGCCCGCTTTATTACGCGGGTGTTTCTGACATGTGGGCACGGGCGTAAAACCCAGCTCGTTGCTGTCGAGTTGATTCCGACTCATAGCGACCCCATAGGACAGAGTAGAGCTGCCCCGTAGGGTTTCCAAGGCGACTGCCACATCTTTCTCCTGTGGAGCCGCTGGTGGGTTCGAACCACCAACCTTTTGGTTAGCAGCTTAGCTCTTAACCACTGCGCCACCAGGGCTCTTTTAAGATTTTTCTATGGCCTGAGGACCATAACCCTCATACGCTCCTAGGTCTGTTGCTGGCTGTCCTTGAGCCGATTTTGACCCATAGGGATCCCACGTGACAGAGTAGAACTGCCCCGTAGGGTTTTCTTGGCTGTAATTTTTACGGGAGCAGATCGCCAGATCTTTCTCCTGCTCCATCCCTGGGTGAGTTTGAACCACCAACTTTTTGGTTAGCAGCCCAGCGCTTAACTGTTGCACCACGAGAGCTCCTTTGGTATGAAATAGAAGCTCAAACTGAAATGAAGAAATTGCAGTCATCGACCTCATTTACTCTTAGTGCCTTTTGGAGGGATGGGGAAGGGAAAGCGGCCCCGTTCATCCTCCCTGTGCTCATTACTGACAAGCCTGGTGATGTGTTTCCGAAGCAGACATTCGGCAGATAAGAAGCAGTAAATGAGACCGCAGAGGTGGGGCTCCTGACAGTGTGAGAAGGGGCAGTCCAGGCCTGGCAGCAAGGGAGGAGGCAGGAAAATGTAAAAACACACAAGATCTAAATAACCAGGTCTCTGCGTGCGGGACCCTCTGCACCTCTTCGCCTCAGTTTCCTAATGTGGAAAATGAGGGCAATAATACTCCATACTCTGTAGGCCTGTGCTGAGAGCTAAGCAATTAACATACAGGCAGTCCCTCTTTTGAGTTACAGTGAACTGCGCTTATGACCTTTCTTTTTTGTAATATGTAGTACATATTACTGACTGATAAGATGTGCAATTGTTTATCTCAAGCTGAAAAACCCCCTTCCCCAGCTTGTATAAATGTCTTGCTACTTGGCTGTATAGGGGTAGGTGTAAATTAATATGCAGAGTGATTCCTTCTGAGGGGAGGGCAGTGTTGAGGTGGGCTAAGGAGAGGTTGCTACTTGTTCTCTGTGCATCAGGAAATTCTTAATAGAAGAGGTGGATTTCAGGAGCTTTCTAATAAAGGGGGAGAGAGGGAAGAAGAGGCGTGGGGATGCAGCCAGGAGCAGGCATTGAGGAGCCAGAGCTGGGACCCCTAGGCGGGCAGGAGGAGAGA